ATCTTAACTGGAATTAAAGCTCATTGGATATTACTAATGGCTCTACAATTTAGCAAGACCATTGGCACGATAGCTAAACTGAGACACCTTGTACCCCTTTCTATTATTTTCAAGTTATATCAGTTTCTTATTTTCCCCTACCTCAACTGTGTATGGAATTAGCTCGTGGGGTTAAGTAACCTGAGATCAGGCCGTTAAGCGTCAAAGTCAACATTGGATAAGCTTCTTCTCCTTCAAAAGCGGGCTATACGTTTGATAAACGTTTCTACAAAGCGTGAACAGGCTACTCCTTTTTTTGTTTATCTTAATATCCTGCCTGTTCATTGTCTTTACGTCGAATCTGTTTCTTGTTTAATGTATGATGTCTAAAACAAGCTACAACCAGTTGCAAAAGTACTTGAGACACTGTACCGTATTTTGGCATAAATGGCCTGTCCATGATCTTGTGCTTGTGATCCCTCCTTCATCCCTTATCAAAGTTGCTAGCAATACAAGACCATACTCAAAACTTGGAGGAACAACTTTGAATGGAAGGGAGCAGGGACGTCAGTATTATATCTCACACACCCGTGACCAGGAGCAATTTGCAGCAAGAAAGGTCGTTTTTCAAGGGAGTGTCTCAACATATTTGCAACTGGTTGTAGCTCCTGCTCCTATTCAAAATTTATTCACCCATGTCTCCGATATCCGTTCTTACAACACAAGATCAGCAACCACCAACAAATTTTGTGTCATGTCTTCTAATCTTGAACAACTAAAGAATTTATTTTCCCGATTTGGCGTGCGGCTATGGAATGCGTTACCAGAAAATATTGAAAAGTCTGCCAGTAGAAACTTATTAAAGAAACAAATGCATGAAACACTTACCTGTATTGATATTCTTAAACAAGAGAATTTGTACCTTACACCTTCTTCAATTCTTGAAATAATATAATTAAAAACTTGTAAAACTGTAGCAATTCTGCAACTACGACCAGATAGTGCCGGATCACTTTTCTTTCTCTCTTTTCTCTGTGTAGTAATTTTGTTTTGCTATTTTTATTTGCTATTTTTCATTCGCTGTCATTATTTTAATTTACTATTTATTGTAATCTTTAACTGCTGCTCACTTGAAAACCTTGTAATTATAAATATGTATAGCGCAAAAAGCCCTAGCTGTAATAAGCCTAACTTGATCATACCTACCCACCTCGACATGATCACTCCATCGTGGCCTTGATATGTTCTTTTCAGTGTAAAGCTATCTCCCCAACAGCTATACCCCTGGGCATTGACATAATCGAACGTAAAAGACATGATTATACCGCCGACTACGTCATACGGCCCGGAGACTGAGGAACGCATAAAATGTGCAGTACTGAGACTGAATTGTCGGGGTGAGTTTAGTGGACCGATTCATTACACCCACACGGTTTTCCAGACTACTGTCACTTGCAACTGTGTTCAGTTATTCGCGCTATTTCGCCCTATCTAGGGAAATATATATAATAACTCTGTTTACTCTCTTACTTAGTAACTTGTCCTCTCGAACTGTACTTACAGTTGAAGCGAAAGCTAAAAGCCTAGTCCCGCTTCTCGTTTAGGCCATATATCAATAGTCTGTGTGATAGAGGAAAGAAATGACTCGCGCGCGAATCTGTAATCTGTAATTGGCAGTACAAAGCGTGTGACTGGCAGTGAAACCCGTCGCCTTTTAGTTTCTCACACGCTACTCCCGAGAGGGGTACTTTTTGCTACTCAACTGGACAATGGTATTTGTCCTTGGCTGGCTCTTTTAATTGTATGCTGTTGACTGAAAATTGGAAATCAATCTAGCTACGTGAAACTTTTGAGGTAAAGTGAACAAATTGTTGTTTAACCAATTAAGGAGGCCCTCTTGGTACAGCGGGAAAAGGGGGAAAATAGGCGAGGGATTAGGGAGGAGGACATAAACCGGCCCCCTTTCCCTTTCCTATTATTCTCCTCTTCGTCTCCTCAAGATTTCTAACTCCTTAGCCTTGGGATTCGAAGAAAACATGTCCGATCAAAGCCTTAAAAATCTCTACAACGGGATATCGACCTAACCCCTTGTGCAAAACAGCGTGAGTACCGAAGCGAAGCTAAAAAGGGAAACCGGGTGGACCTTGTTACAATACCAAGCAGTGAAGCACACATACAAACTCCGCAGTACGGCGAGTACCCTTACACAAGCGTACAACCACATCACCCTGGTAGTGGCAGCCACGGACAGCTGTGTTGTCCTCATTAGAACTCATCGGAATGGCACAGCCCCAGGCGAGAGGTCTCACTTGCGATCATCGATCCTGCCGGTTATTACAGAGGCGAGAATAGACTTTCTCAAAGTCCTTCGCTTCTCATTTCCGGTTCCGGTAGTTGGCCCCACTGCTCTCTTGCTCGCCGCCGCAGAAAACATAAAAAATCTACCACTCGCGCTTCGCGCTCGTGAAAAAATTTGAGCTCGACTCCTTTAAGCACCAGCTCCACCGTAGACGAGTAGTAGCTGTTGGTTGGGAACCGCAAAACATGGTTGTGCGCATGCGTAAGGTACTGGCCATACCGCGGAAACCGCGGAGTTGGTACGTATGTAACAATGTTTAAATTGGGACTATTTTTAACCTCTATATGCCCTCAGCTCTGTTTTGAACTTAGCAGCATCTTCAAATGGGAGAGCTTAAAAATATTTTGGATTTTAGAATCCGGTTGATCAGCTGGGCCAGGTGTGAAAATGCCATGAATCAGCTGTTACACTACTAAAATCTTGCCAGTCGAAAACATGTTTTTATATTTTGTGGAAAGCATCCACTCTGATTGAAAAAGTTACAGTAGCATTTCAAAGAAAGGTAGAACAGCACAATGACACAAGTATTTGTGCAGGAGTCGGACGTTTTCTCTAAGCAAGAGATTGCAAAAACAGCTAGCAAGTCGCTTGGTCCCTGCCATCTCACGTACCTTTGCTTTTTGCCTCTGAGTATTGTCGCTACTGGAGCAGTTCTTATGGTTATTGGCCTCAGTTCACCTTCAAGGAATGCGTTAGCAACTGCCGGTATATCTGTATACATAGCTGGGGTGGTATGTTTCGTGGTTATCAACTTGATGGGTCGGCAGAAAAGTGAAGAACTTGGTGATCACTTCGATTCCCATACAGAAATAACTATTATTTCACAAGCGATCGAAACCAAGCTGTGAAGAACTGGATCGCCCTGAAGTGTCTAAAAACAGTGACTGGATGAATTCAGATATACAACAGACAAGTTCACAAAAAATGATGATCAACAAGAGACCACAAGCCTTTTTAAAATTCACTCAGAAACACTTGAGAAAAGCAAGGCAAAGACCCTCCATTTAAAAATTTTAGTAATAATTTGCTCTTTTCGTTCTTATCCGCCTGATTGCTTTAATATTTTTTTTTTTAGTAAGACGGCGTACCGTTTTATTTTTGATATTACTTTTTCCTGCTGGATATCGCAGGAACTATGACTGACTGACGACTGTGTAACATCAAACATGCAGCGTCGGTCCCATGCACGTTCCACAATGAAGGGAGAGAATGGGAACTAGTCAGAAAACACGTGTGAGCATGTCACCATAGAACAAACTTGGCATGAACTCTATTGTTTTAGTCGTGAATCGTTAAAGGAGCTTTGTCGTAAAGCATGGTGTGTTGCGCAAGCTTTCGTTTTCGGAATTCGAAAACTTTGTTGCGTACCGTTTTATTTTTGATATTACTTTTTCCTGCTGGATATCGCAGGAACTATGACTGACTGACGACTGTGTAACATCAAACATGCAGCGTCGGTCCCATGCACGTTCCAAAGGGAAGGGAGAGAACGGGAACTAGTCAGAAAACACGTGTGAGCATGTCACCATAGAACAAACAAACTTGGCATGAACTCTATTGTTTTAGTCGTGAATCGTTAAAGGAGCTTTGTCGTTAAGCATGGTGTGTTGCGCAAGCTTTCGTTTTCGGAATTTGAAAACTTTGTTGTCCAATTTTTTAACTCAATCGCTTTCCATCGCTGAGAAAAAAGGCCAACACAAGAACTATTATTCAGGTGGAGAAGTCGAGTAATTTAAACCATTTTACCTGCTTTCTTCGATTTCAGGGAGAAGGAGGTTTAAGACGATAGCTAAAAATCCTCGACACAGCCGTATTTTAATGATTAAACTATAATATCTAACCAGTCTGGAAGCGTGATTACTTTGCTTGACGTCGGAACATAGTAAAGGGAAGAGTCTAGGAAAAACTCATTTGGGCGTAACTTGTGTTTACGTCACATTAGCAGCGTTGAGTCGATCACAAACAGAAGGGCAAACTGTGTGGGAAACTGCCATATTTATCAGCGGTATAGGAAGATTGAAGTTTCTGGTAACAACTAATTAAGAGATTTTTTGTACCTAGCCTAGAATAAGAGCGCAAATTTGAAGCTGAACATGGTCCTCCGTTTCCTCTTCCTCCTTCAGAAACATCGCCACATAATATTGTAATCTTTGATATAATCATTATAATAATCATCAATAGCATTTTTCAATTTCCTCCTCGGTAACGTATACGTAAGTACTTTCATCGTGTTTAAATTGAAATACGTGATCCCTTACATTGTATCCTCGCCCCTCGAGCTGAAAACATTAACCACAGCGATATTGTCTTAAGAAAATTATGTGTGACCACTTACACTGCAATTCAGTATATCGGCACTTAGCTCAGAGAACCGAAGAGACTTAATATGACTTCCTCTTAGAAAAATCTTCTTGTCGTGATAACTAGTTAATATTTATATAATATGTCAGTGCAATGGTAGCCTCTAATACTAGAGCTGGGCGGTAATCCTTATAACAAAAAGACTTACATTTCGGCTGTAGTCTGAAAAGAAAAACTTAATATGTACATGTCAATTATATGCCAGTTCTGAATTCAGGATTATTTCGCCTGTGCGATACCAGGAGACATCGATAAATTGCTGTGACGTGTTGCCTTTTTTTGTTAACAATAGAACAACGTCTTAGCACTGACCAACATTAATTGGGCTCTCTCCTGAAAAAGATACTGCTTCTTCGTATGGAGGGGGTAAATCAAATGCCTTTGGTGTATCTGATTCAGATTTGGACCGGTGGGAAACTGTTTCGATCCGAGGCTGGAGAGCGCGATCGGTAGATCCAATAACATCTTCGTATCTTGGAGGACTGTAGCCATCGGGTATAAGCAGGCTGTGTGGGTATAAACCTGTGAATGCAGAGATACTGCCAGCTGAATACGCTCGCAGGGTACTGTCTGGTACAACCATTTCAGTTCTATCATCCTGCCAAGTAGCACCTTTCAGCGATCGTACTTGCTTTATCTTAACAACCGCCACGCAAAACATGCCAAACGCGAAAACGGAACAGCCTACGCCAGCTAATATGGCTCCTTCGTTCTCTGGACCGTGGGCTACCAGTGAAGTAATTCCCGCCACAAACACCACAAAACCAGCGCAAGCCAGGATAAGGAAAATTGGGATTGTCGAACGCAAACATCGACAGCTATAGGATGCTTGGCTTAGACCATAATTTTGTGGATTTTCTGAAGAGAAAGGTCGTGCGGTACCGAGGTCTGCCATCTTCTCTGAGTATCTAAGAAATGAGCCAATAAACAGAAGTTGAGATGTGGTCACTCAGTTTTCAACAAAGGGGAGAAAGTTATAGCTTTGGAACTTTGTATTAACGAGACACAGGAAACTGGCAATTTACGTAAGCCCAATTCAAAATCAAAGTCTAGCATGAGGAAGCCTACAGTTTCCCGAAAAGGTGTAAGCTGCATTAACATGTTTTAATTGCAATAGCCTAATACAAAATCATTGACAGTGTTTGCCAGGAGGTTTATAAAAAAGGGAATGCTAAGCTGACTTACTTTTATTTATGAAGTTAAAAAATTAAGGATTGGGTAAACTACTAGAGGAAAGATTGCTCGATAAAAATAGCACGGGGTGTGGCTACTTTTCGATAAAGGGAACGACTGGATGCTCTATAATTGGCGGGTGAAACAAGAAGTTCTCTCTTACGTGAAACCAAAAGGAAACTGACCTTGACCGTATCATACATACAATAAGCATTAGCCTTATTCAAAATCAGTATCCAAGTCCGCTGCCACAACATGGTCTACGGGTTTTCGAGAAAGCGAAAGCTTTACCTTTTTATGGGGGTCTTTTATTCATGAAATTAACCATTTGAAGACTGTTAATTTTTTAAGGCGTTTGACGACCTTTGATTGACCGAGGCGATATAGCAGGCAGGGATATGGACGATTCCGGTTTTGACAAAGAGAAGGAAGTTACAGCTTCAGAACTTTGCGACATTACGTAAAACAGGAGGCAATTTGCATTAATCAAAAAATTGTTTCAAAAATAGTACCGATTCCGCCGTGCCATTACGTGACCTAATCCTTCTCAAACCAGTGAAAGCTAAATTAACATTGGCATAAACTTTTGCTCCCTACAAATCGAGTTTCGTTAGATCGTGTTAAAACTGTCTGCAGTGATTGTTGATTTATAATGAGTACACGATTTTATTATTCTGACGTAATGATAATGCTTGCCAAGATTATTAAAAGGGGAAATTTCAGTTTCGTTTATTTAAAAAAAAATGTTTTATTGCCGAGTGAAATTTTTGTTCAATGATTGAAACTAACATACTTGTCCTTGATGAATTCGCGATCTTCAAGACTGAAAAATGACATGAAAAAAAATTATGAGCTTCAATACACTTCTAAAATACTCAGTGAAAATACAATCTTATGGCACTTCCGCCGTAAAGGTAAGTTTGTTTTTTTCCTGATATAGAGATCGAAACCGCTACAGAAAAAACACGAGCCTTCGGCGAGTCCCCTTGAATTTAACCAGGCATTTAAAATCACACACGACACACAGGCAGCATTCCAGAGAAGAAAAATCTCAGTTTTATATATATATCGTTATTGTAAATCGAAAAAAAAAGCGGAATTACTTACCTAAGTTGGGATACAAACCGAGAACAGGATCGATGTTTGTGTGTGTGATTTCTAACAGTTGTGAAGTGCATGTCAAAAGATTCAATTGGCTCGCCCAATTAAAAGGGGTTTTTAAGCACTTTTTCGGTTTCGGTTTAAAGACATTGACAGTCTCGTCACGAAAGTTAGCCACTGAATTATAAGCCATTGGGAAGTGGTCACGTAGTGAATTATAAAAATTAACCTTCTTTCAAACAGTTCGGGAACATTTTGTCAACATTAAAACGGACTGTAACTAGAGTCGCTTTTGAGAACTGTTAGCCCTGACACAATTTTACAGCGTTTATCTCAGGGACTTTGTAATGAATGATAATGCCCTGGATAATGCTTAGCTTTATCGTTTAGATGGAAATTTCCGCCTAACTTTGATTTTAATATCAAATTCGGTTGGAAAGTAAAACCAAAGAAACGGATTGAACTTTCCGCAAACAGTCCGTTTTATTGTCATTGAAAATCCACCAGCCGTTTAGCCTTTTTATCAGCGGTCGCCCTCGCGCCCCAAAGCCCGCCTGACCGCCCTGCCCCCCCCCCCCCCCCCCCCCCCCCCACCCCCCCCCCCCCCCCCCCCCCCCCCCCCAACCCCCCCCCCCCACCCCCAACACCCCACCACACTCTTTCCTCCCCAATCCCATCACCAAACCACCACCAAAACACAACACACAAACAAACACCCCAAATCCCCCCCCCACCACCCCCCCCACAACAGCGACGAGCGGGAGGAGGAGAGATACCCCCCCCCCCCCCCCCCCCCCCCTCCCCAAAAAGCGCCTGTCCCGCGGGCAGTTTGTACAACGTAAATCCACTCATAATTGCGGCCTGCACTTATGTTTTCAAGGATACCACACAGTACTAGAAAGGAACTAGTAACGACCTAAACTCTTCGGTCACTCAAGTGCCCTTGACCTGAAGGACAGGAACGGAAGGAGGAAAGTGAGCGAGTGAAATTTGAAAACCTCTGGGCACGAGGGTAACCGCTTAAAGTGTTAGTGAACATGATCAAAGCGAGACGGAATCAATGGCTTTTCCTTTAGTCCGGGGCGATTCAGTCCAGCAGCGTCAGCGAGTGTATCCTTCGCTTCATGAAAGGGAAATTTTTGCTTGTGGAATCCAAAATCCTGGGCTTTGGAATCCAAGTTCCACTGACAAAGACTGGAATTCAGTATCTGAAATCCGGAATCCCCGGCGTGGAATCCAGAATCCAAGACTTTCCTGTATTCCTCGCATTCCCTTACGTGGGACGACACCTTGAAAATTTGAGCGTAGTTTAGACCACATCAACTCAGGAAAATTTTAGTGGTTATGCCTGGCTCTTCGAGGTTAGTTTTTCCGGGTAAGGAATATTTTCAAAGGAAACACCCCAACATTTCCGACAACAAAGTCCCAGAATAAATAACAATTATTCACCGAAGTGGAGGAGGCTAGTGGTGGCCACCGACACTGAGGTGAATACTTGTTTTAGTATATAATAAAACAGTGAGATAATTGAGCACAAAAATGAAGATTTTTAACGCATTTACTGTTGCTACAACGATCACAATTTTGGCGCACAATGACCGAACGGCCGCGGTCGTCGCTTTTTCTGCCGACAAATAAAACTTTTGAAGGCATTTGTTTAGCTCTTGCGAGGAAATTTCCTCAAAAGGAGTTGTGAATTCTTTTAATTTGTCAGCTTAAAATCATTCTGTAAAAAAGATTATTAAATTTAGTTTTAAGCTTATTTATGAACAAGTCAACTAAATAAAGTAACGCAAGACTTAAGCTTAACTTGCATTTGTAAACAAAAAACTTTTTCGCCGGTTTTATCGATAAATTCAAGTCAAAAAGACAAAGCTTTACCTGTTAAAACTTCCACCCCGAACTTCGTCACCTTCTTCGTGTATTTCGGGAACAGCTTGCTTGATTATTAAATTAGTGGTGAAATTTCTTTGTTTGTTACTGTTAGCCCAATCTAGGTCAAAGACAACAGCTAAACGACAAGTAATCTGTAAAATTCAGCATCTTTACTGCACTCGACACTCAGTGGTTCCAATTACATTAGATTGCATCATCCCCCGATTCAGGGCTCGGGCCCAGTCCATTTCAGTCCTCTCTATTTACCCGGTTTGCTGCCGTAATGTAGAGGACTAGGCATTTTGCTCGCAACTTACGCGAGTTTGGAATCGCTCGCTCAGAGGAACTGGAGGTAAATCAGTGAATTCACCGATGAGTAGCCAATCAGAGCGCGCGAAAACACTATCCACTTTTTTAGTATATACTAAAGGTCAATAACCAGAGTTTAAAACCACCAACTGACGTACTGCACGGGTTGTCGAAAAGTCAGTCACTGTCAACAACAGTACGTTCACCCGAACGATCAAGTTCAACCTACTTATGAGATTCACGTTTGCCGTTTAGCGTCAATTGTGATTCTAAATCTCTCTATTGTCTTTGACCTCATGGCTTACTTTGTTTTCTCTTTTGTTTTACCAATTTCGCCTAAAAGGTAATCCAGAAAATCTTGGATCAGGATTCCAGGCACTGGATTCCAGATTACTTGGATTCCGGATTTCAACCTTTAGCGATAGTCAAGATTCCTTGAGCTGAATTCAAGATTCCAAAGTCCAGGATTCCAGATTTCGCAAGCATAAAAATCCCGATTCCGGAATCCGGATTAGCTAAATTCCCACCAAGAGATCATAGTAGGACTATTTTGATCTCTTGCTCCCACCAAGGACAGACAGACGTCAGCTGAGGTAGTCTCTAACAAGAACTTATATCTACCTCTTCAAGTCATGAGATCCATACATTTAAAGAAAAAAAGAGGACTTCCAAGTCATTTTGATGTGACAATTCCGGTGATGTTGCCATTAAAAAGCCATCATTCTCGGTGAAAGAAATTAGAAATGTGGAGAAAGCATACCACGGGCGGATCACCCCAAATAATGTTTGCTTGTGCGATCACGAACCCAGGGTTTTGGAATCCGGAATTCAGCTCAAGGAATCCAGAATCCCGCTAACGATTGGAATCCAGAATCCGAGTTCCTTTGACAAGGATCCGGAATCTACAGCGTGGGATCCAGAATCCAAAACTATCATGGATTTCCTTACAAGGGGCTACCGGAAAGAGGTAGGATTTCTACTGATCTTGTTGTATAGTCCCTGGCGAAACCTGTTCTTTCTAGTCTTTTTTTCCTCCAGTGGCGGATCCAGGGGGAGGGTCCGGACCCCCTATCAGACCTAACGCTTGTTGAGACTGAAATTCTCACATCGACAGGATCGTACATAACCTTTTAAGTGGCTGATTTTTTAGCGAAACGCGCGTTTCATTTTGTCACGAAACTAAATTCCAGAGATACTCAAAGATTTTGGTTACCCTCCTATGATCTGTTCGGCTCTGCTCGCAAAGCAGTATTTCCTGCTTTCGGTAAGTACTGTGCGAGGTCCATCTTGAGACCACATTAACTGCTGCAATTCATATTTTTTAGGGGACCATGGAAATTAGGTTGGTTGCATACCTAATGTGAATTTGGAACACAGGGATGCAAAAATGAGTAAGATATTACAAAAAATAACTAAAAGATTCGAAGAAGTCATAAATAAACTCTGAAATATTGATCCGATAATTGTAAGGATAAACGATTCCCTTTTCCTTTCAATTGTACTGTCATGTATGCTCCTATATACATGCCCGGTGTAGCCCTTACTTACTTGTACTGTCATGTATGCTCCTATATACATGCCCGGTGTAGCCCTTACTTAACTCTTTAAAACAGAAATATTGGACTGTCCTCCGCTTAAGTCACGTAGATGTTATCATGGTTAATAAATTCATTCTTGGAGCAAGTAGAACGAGCAAAACTGCAGCCTTCGTTGCAAGGATATAAGAAATCTAGGGCGCGGGATAAGTGATGCGCGCAAAAGGGAAAGACAAAAAAACACAAATCAGCACCTGAAATATCAATTCCTGGGAGGAGACGCGAATCGCGCAAAAATCGCACGTTTTTCGCTCCAAATAAAGACCACCCGTTGTCTTTGCCTATTGATTCACCAGGAGCTAAGGTTGCATAAATATTTTGTGAAAAGGGAAAATCGAGAACGCAACTGATGATGGTTTCTCTGCACATTTTATATACCGCACTGTAAATACATTTTACAAGATCTAGAAGAGCAGTAAGCGGAATCTTACTTGTCAATAAATTTTAAATATTTCTTAGCCTCCTTGCAATAAATTACATCATTAATAGTTCTTTGTTTGGCTGTATTTCTTCTATAAATGTTTGGAGACTTTTTTCTTTTCCACCAGCTCGTAGAGTGGTATTTTTTAGAGGAAAATTTTAGTGCAAAACAGTTCAGTTACTGATATTTTGCTTGCAGATGGAGAACACTTTTCACTGGATAAAAGCAAAATTAAGACTGGAAGAGAAAAAGCAGACTAGATTACAAGCCAAAACTCTTTTGTGCCGAGCTTAGTTTCCCTTAATCCTTCTCTATTGTCAACTCTACGTACTCGGTGCAACATGGCTTTACAGTACCAACAGCTTTAATACGAGATTTGTCCACTCGAAAGTGTAATCCACCTTTTAATCAGCTGTGGCCAGTAAAACTGAATGATTGTTTTTCAAAAGATCTTTACACAGCATCGCATGTAATAGCGCATTGAGCTCACACGGCTGCCGACGAAACCTACGAGTAAGCTCTTCGGGCCATTTAGGGTATTACGCGCGATACGAGAGATGGGTAGTCTCCCACCCAGATCTTTTTTAAACGTCGTCACGCAACCCACGAAGAGCTTTGCGCGACGGAGGACACCGAAAAAATACCCTGCATAACAGGCACATTATGGGCCAAGCGAGGTACAAAAAAATGGCTGTGTAAAAGACTTGAGCACGGGGTGCCCCCTCGCGCGTTCTCGGGAAGCACTGAGAGTTCCCTGAAAGTTTTACTCTATTACGTAATAGAGGTTTAGCTTAACAGCATCACGCGATATACCCCAAAAGGCAAACAGAGAGAAGGTCAAAGGATTAGTAATGTATCTGAGAACGAAATAAAAGCCATCCCTCACTCACGTTTGTTATGCACGTGAGGGAACTCCTCTTCATGCTGAAAACGGCCAAAGAATAGCAAGTTTATAAAAGGTAGAAAAATAGTTGCGTGGTCATTTTTGGCCATTTGCAGTAAGGGTGATATACGTGATGCTTTCACAAGTCTCTGATTTTTTACGATGTCTACTGCAACGCCCGGCCGGGTGCATAACGTTACAAGGCAACAAACATGTCGTGTCCTATGACAAACGCGAGTGGCACGAAGATACTATAGGACCTGCCACAACTTTCATTCATCTATCCATAATTTCTTCCAGATGGCTTCTCTTTCTACACAAAATCTCCATATGCCGGCGGGGTATCATATAACCACGATATTCTATCCTCTCTATCAGCCGATGCGAAGTCGTAAGGAGGTGGAGGAGGATTAAGAGTTCTGTGCTCGATGCCCGTAGGAGTAACAAGCACTAACGCTGCTTGTCTTAAATTCTCAGTTATGCTTGTTTCACATCGTGGTGTCTCTGAAATTGTAGAGTATCTACCTGTAGGATTATCACGAACTGAAACAACCCCTTGGGATTCGCTCTCATTAATACAAGTTATAGTAGGTCTTGCAACCGAGTCGTCCCCGTGCGGGGAGTTTACATAAGGAGGGGGGCTGTCGCAGCGTGTTTCCTCCCCGCCAGAACAAAATCCCGGATAACCGGGTAAAAACGGAATAGGAAAACCAAATTCACCGCTTGTATGAACAAATTGCCGAGAAGGATAAGGTGATTCCGGAACAATTTTTGTCCATCCTACGCCAAGCCGTCGTAAAACGTCACATACAATCGCCAAACTTGCGCCAACGATCACCAAACCCACGCCGACAGCGGCCATCTCATTGCCCATCGAAGCGAAACCGTTGACAGTAAAAATAATCCCAATGAGAAAACAACTGAGGTAGCAAATGCATAGAAATAACCACCAGCTTGAGATTTTTATGCCATCGGTGTTGAATGGGCATGAAGGCATCTGACAGAATAATTTCCAATCAAAACCTTCGTAAGGTCCTTGAAGATCGCTTCTTGTGGCCATAGGAACCTCGCTCAGCTTGCAATGTATAATATTATTTTTTGTCTATGTCCACTCAGCCAAAACAAATCCCTAATGATGAAAAGTACCTTTAGCTACTTGAAATTACGTAAAGAAGCGAGATGACAATAGACGCGACGGTATACCGCGCTAAAAAATTACAAATCGAAATTCTGGCTCGAGGTCCAAAGAACTTACCGGCAAATCTACTGGCAAGCGGGGGAAAATATTTTTTTATCCACCGGCAAAATGCGGACGTCGAAAAATCGTCGGGATAATACAACTCTTGGCTTGAAAAATTCGCCTTCCAGATCCTACGAAGTGGTTTCTCGCAAGTCTTAGTTCACCGACTGAGGCGAGAAATGATGAGCTACAGAGAATTTTAGCAATTAAAAAAGATGACATTTTCTCGTTGTTTTTGACAGTCAGAACACGTGTAAAGCGAATGCCATGCTAATTAAAATTCATCGTTGAAAAGGACTTCCAAGTGGCACGGCCTCATCACGTGCGAGGCTTGCGTTAGCTTTACCATTATTCGTTGACCGGAATCGGGAGATAGTGATAACTGACATTAATTCGAAACATATCACGTACTCTATGAAAAAATGATTTCTGTCTGTCTTTTTGTTATCCTCGGCTTAATCGTTTTTCGACTTTTACTACTATCACCTCACTGAAGTTATCTGCAAAGTTTTTCTCCTCGTGCGGGATCGATTTGGCATCTAATTTTTTATTGACATGCATGTATACATACGTTTCTCGCTGAAGCAACATCAATAGCGTGACTCAGGCATTTCTGTTTCTCGCTTAGCCACCACGTCTTGGTCGACTTGTTATGATTTATAAAACCTTGTATTGTTTGACCATTTGAATTTTGAAGGTCAAGTTAACAATGCGGGTACAGGTGAATTTAAATGTATCAATTCATGAAAAGTATTAGTTCAGGAAGGCTTCCTAAGTTAATAATTTGCTCGTTCAAAAAACTGAGCTGCCGAAGTCGGCTCCTGACGCGTCGCAATACTGAACCTTACATTTTTCTTCCGTTAATAATTATATAAATATCTCCTAAAGGAATATTACATATTGATTAAATCCAAAGGCGAGGTCAATAGAAAATCTAAATGTCTTCACAGGTCTTTGTTTACATCACGCCAGTTTCAGAACCCGCGAACGTGACAAAATAATAGTCTTTTGTCTCATAACGCAACGCACCTCCGTGACATTGGCTGCGGCCGCACTAAGACCGCTTTGCAAGTTATCCGCTTTAGTTTTTGAAAAACCCAGTAGCAAATTTTCCAGAGCGTAACCGGGTTAATTTTTTTTCAGCGGCCTTTCTTAATCTAGACTTTCACGAAGTCATTCCTATCGCGCGGTTTTGTGTTTTCGCTCGCTTGGCTCTACCCTGCGAGCAGAGGCCCTTCGATCTTCCTCGAAGGGCCTCTGCTCGCAGGGTAGCTTGGCTCATATGCTTAACATTTCCTTTTTTGTTTACCCTGATGAAACAAAGGACATACGAGACGCACAGGTTATTAAACCTTTGAGGACTCAAATAGCAATCACGTGCCTTATTTGCAGTCGCATGAGAGTGTGATTTGAGAGCATAATAAGTCACCTACCATTGGTTCTGAAAGCCAGAAACGAATGATGTTTTTTCCCTCATTATAAAAATACTCCACTTTAATGCTCCGTTTCTGACCCACTAAAATGCTCGGTAAATACTTTTCTCAGAAAATACCATTAAAATGCTCGAATTGTCTTTTTCGTGCCTCTCCCATCTTGCGCCATCAGTCACGCGCGTGGCTATTTGCGTGTCTCGCGTTTTGCTCGACGGACTACAGAAAAAAGAGAGACTGCTCTAAGAAATTCTAGCATAATGTACAACAGACTAATCTGGGAGTTCCCTTTTAGCCCTCAACAGGCGCTGCTTTTCGCGGATTTCGGGTGAACGAAGCATGAAGCGCGCGAGTCTCGAGCTCCACGCTCGCTTCTCGCTTGCCTTCGCTCGCCTGAAAAACGCGAAAATACTAACACCGTGCACAATTAGGTCTGGGGAGAGGCTGGTGAGTAGTTCCCAGGAATCTTAGCGAATCGCACACTGATTTTCGCGTTCACAAATTAATTGTTACAAAGTTAGCGAGGCGTTTCTCTTCATGGTCAATTAGCTCAAAATGACAGGGGTGCTATGAACGCTAGGAATGCTAAGTCTACAAAGATATAGACAAACACATTTGACAAAGGCCGATTAGCCTATATACATTCGATTAATCCGCCGAGGAGAAAGTGAGGATTACACTGCCAGTCTCGTCCACGTCCGCGCGCGAGGATAGAACTAGGTGACCGGTGAATCCAAGTGCCGGCAAGAAAATCAGCTTAACCTGCAGAACAGCGAACAGGCGCTATATTTTCGCGTTCAAAATCGGACGAACGAAGCACGAAGCTAGCGTAGAGCGCGAAAAACGCGCGACGAGGGAAGGCGCGGAAAAAACCCAGCCTTGTTGGACGCTGGGTGTGTCCGGCAATCCTCGCCCGCTTCGCGCTAACTCTCACTTGCCTATAAAACGCGATAAACTAATACCTGTTCTGCAGGCTAATCACCTTTGCTCGGCATTCGAAATGAGTACATCTGGCAAGTTGACGCAATAATTTTATCATCCTAATGGACTCCTGTTAAAAACACACAGAATAATATCGATCGTGTCGCATAGCTAGATGATGGTCAAATATAAGTTCTTCTCACGATGGTTAACAAAAAAACTTCCATCAACAAGAGATCGGATTCTCCCAGATGCTGATGACTGTTAATTGCATCAAGAGCTTGCTTTGTGATGTGCCATTTCCATTTCTCTATCTCCACTCGCTGAAATCGGCTTTTAGGTCAGCAACACTGGCCAACGGTGTCCCGTGTCGCGTCAGGCCTAGAAAGGCTGAAAATGAGAAAAACTTTAAGAACAGAGCCCAAGCTGCAGTGTGTCAAGAACTCTTTGTATTTCACCTGTTTGAAACATGAGAAAAAAAGAACTGATTACCATGAGGAATGCAATCAATGCAGTGAATGTTCGCTGAACCGGTAATTAAGTGCCTACCTCCCACAATTAGAAAATGAAGTTTAAAATAGAAATTCGGGTTCGCCATCGAAGTATATAAATCGAAACGAACTTTCAAACATCAGTGAGGACTAGGGATTAACGAGGTCTCTAGTTTATGTACGATACGAGATAGGATTATGAAAATGAAACGCCATGAACATAGTGCTGATTTGTAACGGGGTGGGATATTCAGTAGGTCGTGGTGGAAGTGGTCGGAAGATTAACGTTTCCGACCTTGTTGAAAAAAGGACTCTGCAACGTTGTATTCATAGCGTGATTATAGGCGCCCCAAGCCCAAAGAGTACAATGGAGACAATAAGTGATCATACCTTAAAATATCTCGGGTGTTGTGATACAATGGTCGGTTCGATTATTATCAAAGTTTCCTTCTATGGAGACACACAAAAACGTTATTTACTAATTTAAGTAAATTTACCTTCTTCCGATGTTGTCTCTCTTGTCATTTATCTCCTTTCTAGCTCGGTTTCGGCCGATTTCGGTCATAAATCGATCACCCATTGCGAGTTTCCACTGCTCTGGCTACTCAGCCGGGCCGGGATCGGGAGATACATCGCCGAGATCAGCCAGCCAGGGAATGACGAAAGCACAAAATCCTGCTCCGGTGGTTACCCCTTGCCTTTTGTGAAAAAAAGAATTCGAAAATAAGGCAAAACAACTGCAACAGTTGAGCACTATTACGTAATAGGTATCCCTAGTCTGATCCTGCGTTTTTGTTGCATACAAATCGCGATATCACCTGTGCAGATGTATCAGTTTACCTGGTCTTTGCGATTGAACAAAGTCCAATTCAACCAAAGGGCGGCATAGCGGAAATAACGTGTACTGATTTATATTGGCCTACTGACAGCATTTTTTAAAACACATGTGAAAATAGTGAACGGAAGTTTTTTATAGTTCCTTATCTCTATTCACCTGAAAACAGTGGTGTGAAACATCACTGAATTTAAAATTTTATGACGAAGCACTGTCAAGACTGTTAGCCCTCTAAAATATGGCGCGTTATCAGGGTCAAAATAAAAAAGGTACACCCTTCGTTATGAATTTAAAATCATTTGTTCCCTGTCATCTAATTCTGCAAACTTACGTTATTTTCCAGCGTGAATTGTGAATAAAAGTTACATTCGGGCATCATTGCACCATAGAAATATCGGTAACACTCCGTCATTATTTCTAAAATAAAATGTTCCCCTGACATTTCATTCTGCTGAAAAAAAAGTCTCTCCTTTTTCTGAATTGTAAATAAAAACATTACTTAAACATTGACCGAGAAAAGAAATCTTAAATACTCTCTGCTACCAAAATGCAAAACAATAAGTAAACAAAAACGCAGTCCAATGGGGTAAAAGATACTCCTGCCCTCGTGCTTGTTGAATTTGTGTAATAAAATCTTTACACAAAACTTTCAAAATTCAAAACAAATACATAATTTGTTTTCTTTTTATTTCTTTTGTTACCTCTAACCAGTCTAACTGCTGAATTGGAAACTTCCCTCAGCCGGATGTGAGATTTGCGATAACAAGCCACTTTGAATTGAATACGCGCATTTCGAATTGAATTCTTTCGACCAGGCGTTATTAGATACACAGGGCCTGGTCGCTAAGCCGTTATGACGTCACTCTACTGGTGTCACTTGGTCACATTTTCGCGCCGGTTCGTACCTTGTGTCACGGTACTCAAGTCATTGCGAATTCAGATCAATTGATCAAGAATGGCAAGTTAGTATTTTCGATCCTAGCCACCAGTATTTAAACAGTCTGCTTCGCTCTCTGTACCTAAGACTTTACCATAGTAGCAACTGACGAGGAACGCTATAGTTCCGAAACTGCAGTCTTGCTTAAGAATCCATAGCAGTCGCACAGACGACTGTTTAGCAAAAACTTAAGAAAATACCTACGA